ATTCCTTGTTGATAATATCAGCCTTTAAAAAAAAAAAAAAAAAAAAAAAAAAAAGATACAAACGTCACCACCTTCCTCAAACAGGCTCTTGCAGTTCTTCAATGGTACCACGCCAACTGCCGTCTTCACGGATGAATTCCCTTCGTATCTTCTTCCAACCGCCTGTCCATGTGTTTCCCCCACTCGACACTATTGTCAACCTCCATAACCCAGCACCATCCTTAACGGTCAGGAGCTCGAGGAGATCGAGGGTCCAGCCACCTTCGTTCGTAGGTCGAAATCGGATAGGATAGATACTACGACAATCCCGATGCTCAGTGTATCCGATGCCCGACTCCTCTCCTTCCTCCCCTTCCGTCGCTTCTTCCTAGTACCCTGAGTGCTTCTCTTGCATCCAGCAGTGTTTAGAAATGGGTTACATTGCTTAATGTAAACGTCCTCGAGTTTCAGCAGCTCAGCATCCCCACTGGTCTCTAAGTCAACGGGCATCAACACATAGTTCCCGTGACCAAACGTACACAACCATCGGTGGAAATGCGATCTCCTCTTGTTACGGCATGCGGACAAATGCTCCCACCAACGGGTATCGACGTCCCGCGTGGTCTTGCCAACGTATTGGAGTTTGCAGAAAGGTGATATTGCAATATACACACAGCTCTTCAGACTCAGAAACTCGAGACCATAGGTTTCATACAATCTCCTCCAGGATTCCACAATCTTCTTCGTCCACTTGATTTCACCACGGAAAGACAGCAATAGGATACACAATCGAAGTAGCTCCTCTGCTCTAGGATCCACGGTCTTCACTCCACACCGGTAGCTTGTCAACGTACGCACAATACGCCATATCTCGTCAACTCCGTAGTTGCATCAAGCGTTAGGGTCTTGGTCCTCATCCTCCACGGTTGCTGATAGGTCCTCAATCTGCGCCATCTCGTCAGCCAGGCTCAGCGGTTCCACTTCACCGAAGGCTTTGCGCGTACGATGGCTCGCAATATCAAAGATAGCGTCCACTTTGCCATTTTACGCGATGCCCTCACTCTTACATGCAGCCTGCAGTTCTTGTGCGTCCATGCCGCGGAGTTCCTCCTTGACTTGGTTCCGATATCTCAGCTTAGCCACAGTGCCCAGCTGCCCAGGGCTCTTCTTGCACTTCGCCGTATACGGAGACAACTTCGTCTTTACCTTCGCCTTGGACCTGGTGATGCGCAGGGTGCCGTCAGTTGCTTTCTCCTTCGTAGTCCTCGGGGTATGCTTAGCCGGCGTTATCATCGGAGGACTGTTTTCAAATACTGGTTCAGCTCCACGTTTTCGCTTCTCGCTTATGGCCAGGCGTCCCGTCTTTGTCCGGATTTCCTTGGTGGCGCTTCCACCACTCCCATGGCCAGAACTCGACTCTTCATCCGACACATAGACGACTTGCTTTTTGCCTTTAGCTTTTCGACCCAGTATGAGTACAGGTCCCAGGTTGGTCTCCATCCTATCGAAGAACTCCCCCGTCTTTATCGCCACATGCAGTTCCACCTTTTTATCAATCTCAGCTGCTCTCTCCTCCTCTTTTCGTTGCTTCTCAATCCTCTTACGTGCCTTCCTTTCTCGATCCAGTTTTTCTGCTTCTCTCCGTTGCTCCTCCTCCGCCGCCTCTTGTCTCGCTTTCTCCTCCTCGGCTTTCTTGGCCTTCTCTGCTTGAATAAATTCGGACATAGTCGCCAGGCTCTTACCGAGTTCTTCAATCTGTTGCCTTAATTCCGGGTCTTGAGAAGAAGACCTGCTCAAATCCAACTTCTCCTCCTTCTTTGGTGATGTAGACCGCCCCCTACGCGAATCATTGGACGTGGATGGACGGCTGTCCGAGCTCCACCATCGGTCCCTACACTGATTCGCATAGTGGCCTCTCTCTCTCCGGACGAAAAACACTTCGGTGGCGACCTTCTGTAGTAACGCTCCCCGCCCCGATCGTAGTTCTGATCCAAACCACGATTGCTTCCACGATCTTCGCTGCCAGACCTGGTCTCCCTACGATCATAGTTCTTCCAATCTCTCATCTTCGACAACTTCGATCTTCGTCAACAACAGTTATCTTTAACCAAATTTAATCACGCTCACTAATCTCGGTAATTCCTCTCCGAGGAAGTTAACGTGTGCAGCATCAGAGTGAGGAAGAGGTTGTGTTAAGGGGGAGGTTGATGTTTGGAGGGGAAAGTGGCGAAGGGGGTAAATATGAGCTTATGAGGGGTCCTGTGATGGGTTTACAAGCCCAGAAGCTATCAGATGCGCATCCGCAGCTAGTGTCACTGCTGCCAAAGAAGAGAAAGTGGAGAACAGCACAGTCCGATACCGAAACGAAAACGTCAGGAGAACCCCTCCGCCGCTGAGCTGCTGAAGCAGAAGGAAGGAATTGTTGGAGTTAGTATCAAAGAGGGAAAAAAAAAAAAAAAAAAAGTATCAAAGGGAACGAAGTCAAACGAAAAGACCTGGATGTGAAGGCAGCTCCCGACGAAGAGCCGCAGAAGGAAAGCATTGCTGAACCTAGGCGAGTCCCCTCCCTGGTTTCCACCTCCTTCTTCCTCCTCCTACCTCTAATGGTCCACCATGGATGGCTAGAGGTCCATCACCCTCACTTCCATAGCCTAGACCCACTCCCACTACTACTACTTCATAGCCATGGAGGTCTTCACCGTCACCCCTCTAGCTCCACCTTCTCCTCCAGGTGCTCCTGCCGACTTCCCCCTCTGGGTGGAGCAGCATAATGCTCACTTCAACAATGAACCGAAATCCTGCTCTATACATTATATCCACTCATATACTTTAGCTGCCCGGCCTCCGGTACCTCTTGGCCAGGTACTACACAGCACTCCCCGGCCTCGCGTGGGTGCGCACTAAGCGCACTGGGTGTTCCGTCTCTTTTTTTTTTTCCTGCTTCTGGTGGGAAGATCATTTCAACCTGCAACTCAGCATCAGGGCCTTTATTATCTAATGATGTGTCCTACTACCGTCTTCCTCGCCGAATAGAATGTACAGTCATTATGGCCGTATTTGGCTCACACCGCAGTCCAGATGCAGCGAAAATGTTTATTGGGCCCAAGAAGGTAGATAAAGTCCTGAACACTTATGACTCTTTTTGGCAGCTACGGTAGTGGACTACCCACTAAGCCTACGAGGTCACCGAGGCTACCTGATTCACTGGGAAGTCCTAACGGTCCCCTGGCCCATTCTACTTTTCTCCCTGGGCGCCACCCCCCCCCCAGCATGTCCCACTGCTAATTTCCATTCTGCCCCTGGCTGTCTCTCGACTCCTACCTTGTCCCTGCCTGAGGCACAGGCACACACACACAGCCAAGTTGAACGGAGTTAGCACACGGGGATCCAGACTCAGACCCAGGCAAGCACACGGGGATCCCAGGCAAGCACACAGGAATCCAGACTCAGACCCAGGCAACCACATGGCATATTGGCAGGTCACACACACACTGCCACTTAGACAGTCAAACAAACTTCAGACTACTGTCTTCACCCGAATAGAACGCCCGGGCATTATAGCTGTATTTGGCACAACTTTCGGTCCAGATGCAGCGATAATGACCGGGCGTTCTATTCGGGTGAAGACCGTAGGAATTATCAGAAAACAGACCAAAAGAAACAGCATTTTCTCAGAAACTGCAGGAATCATTTGATGTGGGCGGCCACGTCAAATGAGACGGACCGAAGATCATGAGGCCCATCTTTTTGACATGAACTCAAGTTGACGGAATGACAAACGTACAGGCCGACTTGCCAGGCACAAAGACAGGTGAGCAGACAAGTGCACAAACACACTGCACAGTCCGCACTAAGGGCCTTGTTAGACACTCCTTGGGGATGCGATTCCAAGGATTTTGTCGTCGTTCCACCTGTCATCGGAGATGAAATCGGAAATGAAAATGTGCAATCGCTCCTAGGACAAATCCTAGGGCTCCGAGGACTTTCCCAGCCATTTTGTCCTTGGCTCCAAGGGACCTCATGAGGTCCCTTGGAGTCTGAGAGAATCCGTGTTTCACGGAGAGGGGAGGGCATGCACGTAGTGGTATGTTACATAACTGGGAATCTGGATCGTGGCGGCACCCTACTGGCTGAAATCCCCAAGCACAACTCCGTTTTTTTTTTTTTTTTTTAATCTCTGACATCGTTCTTAGGACTAGTCCTAAAGCTGACACTCCGACGATGAGCCCATCGAACACGATGAAAACCCTAAATTTTTCCAAGGATTCATCCTCGGGCGCTGCGGACGCTCTTAGGAGTGTCTAATGAGGCCGTAACACAGTTGAAAAGACAAAACGAATCCCGGAATCTATTGGTCTGTCTTTTGTCATAAAGCAACTTGACAGAATGGAAGCCTTTAACTGAACAAATGATTGGACAGGCAGACAGGCAGACAGGCAGACAGACAGGCAGACAGACAAACAGACAGACAGGCGGGCGAACAGACAGAGACAAATGGACAGAACGACACAAAGACCAATTGAAAGACTGACGAGGCGACATGCCGACCAGCGTGTGGGTGTGCATGTGGACGGGCGATCGAGAACGCAGGCAGGTGAGAAGGCACATGAGAGGGGGCCCGGGGGG